CGTGTATTTCCCCCTCCCCTCGCCTGGACAGACGACGCCGCTCTATGTGCCCCCCAGGACAGCCGCCGCTCCATCTGCCCCCTTGCATGGCCCCCCAGGCAGATCCCCCCATTCCGTGGGCCCCCCTAGGCCTCTCAAGACAGCTCCCCAGCTCCTTGTACACCCCCATGGCCCTCCGAGACTCCATGTGCCCCCCCTGCCCAGGATAGATGCCCCTGATCTGCGTGCCTCGCCCCCCCCCCTGCATTCCCCCTGCCCTGGGACAGCCTTTCTGCTCTGTGTGCCCCCCCCTCACACCTCCTGGGACAACCTCCCCACTCCGTGTGCCCCCCTCCATAATCCCCCAGGACATCCCCCCTATCTCCATGTGCCCCCTGCACGTTCTACAGGACAGCCCTCCCACTCCATGTGCCCCCCTGCACAACCCTCCCCCAGACATCCTTCCTGCCTCCATGTGCCCTCCCGCACAGCCCCCTGGACCAGGACCCTCCTCCCCCCTCCCCCCCGGCTTCATGTGCTAAACCGCACAGAGCCCCCTGGCTCCGTGTGCCTCCCCTGCCTGGGACAGACCCCATCGCCTCCTCCTCCCCTCCCACCCCTGCACAGCCCCCCGAGACATACCCCTTCAACTTCATACTTCCCCCCAGGACAAACCCTTGCTCCGTGTGCTCCCTCAGCCCTGCCCTGCCAGAATAGCCCCCTGTGCTCCATGTGCCCCCCCCCACTGCACAGCCCCCCTGCTCTGTGCTCCTCAGGATAGACCCCCAGGACCAGCCCTCCCAGTTCCATGTGCCCCCAAACAGGGATCAGGCTGCCCCAGCCTGTGTGCCCCTCAACAGGGATCGATCCCCCCTACTAAGTGTTTCTCCCCCAACAGGGACCAGCCCCTAGGGTGACCAGGATGGAAATAAGGGAAAACCATATGAAAGGTAAGGACAAAGCTTTGTTTTAAGGGATATTTTAGGGAAATACCATTTCCCATAGCACAGCAGGTATTTTTCGGGCATGTGTCTATTTCTACTGCCCTCAAACATACAGTGCAGTCATCATAAGCTTATTTAAAATGGTACTTACTTGTTTTAAAACATTTCAACACATCTTTTTTTTTAATCACTTCATAAAACTCTTTACATGTCCAATCGAAATTAATGTTAATTTGAAGCTCAGCTTTAACAGCGTCAATATTTAGCAGGTTTCTGCAGTCTCTCCATATCTGTGTAACAAGGAAAATATTCTTTCCACTGCTGCATTTGAGGATGGAATGAACATAATAAATTCCACACATTTTAAGAAATTGGGAGAAGAATGAGCAGGCTACCATGTTTCAAAGCCCTGTCCTTTCCCCTGCATACAGTACTCACTGAATCTTTTTTGCAATAAACCATAGTAGTGCTCCATGTGGTTAGCATTTGCTGTTTACTTAGCTAATAACGAACCTTTCCCTTTCCAGAAGTTTTCTAAATTTGTCCTAGCATTTCCTTACTTGTGTTACATGTGCAAAACCAAAGGGCTGGGGTGGAAAAACTTCTGACATGAAGCAACATCCATGATTTTTATGAGAACCAACAGAGAGACAGTCTAAAGGAATGTCCCCCTACCTGCATCTATCATCGGGGTTTGTTGTCAAGCCCTTAAAAAAAATAAACCAACTAGGATGTGGGGGTGTAAACAACCAAGGTATTTATTAAACCATCAGCAGTTCTAAACAAGGTAAACCAGAGGTGAACCGAATAGGAACACAGGTAAAGCAAGGACCCCCACAACAGGTGATATAAAGGTCAGAACAGGGCCAGTAGTATGCTGACTGTGACTGAGGGTAAGTTCCCACCCCTAGGATGGGACCCAGGTAAGAGGATGGAGGATCAATGGACCACTTCCATGTCCCGCAGCTCTGAGGACTCTCGCAATGACAGGACAGCTCCGGACTCCATCCAGGTAGGTGGAACCCACGGGTAAGGAGGGACCTCAGGATCAGGGAGGCGATGACAGCTCTGCCCCAGTGATGACTTGGCTTGTACTCCCCCTGTGACGTCGTGGGTGTGTGTTTGTCCTCAACGAAAGAGTGGCAGCTGATGACATACTCCATATGTAAGTGAGAATTACCCTCCCGCAACCAGATGAATGAGCGTGGTGTTCAGTGTACTCCTCTGAGGCAACTTAGAGAGCTGAGATGTCTGCCGTGCTTTCCAACGATTGCAGCAGCAGCACCTCCAAACTCTGCTACACAGAAGGGCAGCCCCTTCCTTCTGACCTGCTAGCTCTTATATGCCCTGCTGTTACTGGGCAGATCACAAGTCATATGTTCGCTTAGTTTCCTGCCTTTCGGGAAAAATTGTGGGCAACTATACCCGAGGAGGGGGAAAAAGGGCAGCCAAGATGGATTCCTAGTTGTTGTTTGGGCATTTCAAGATGGCGCTTGGGCATTTCAAGATGGCACACCTACGATGTTAAGCACTGAAGTTTTTCCCCTACATTCCCCTCCTTGCCGGCAAGGGACCCAATATCGGGAGTTCCAATGCCAGCACACGATTACACGGGGGCACATTGGCACACCTAGACTTGTGCCTCAGTTTACCAAATGTATGTTGCGGCCACCTGCATTGCGCTAGAGACAGTACAATCATTACAAATTGTAACACAAACAAAACAGACAAGGCATGTGCAAGCAAATGCCAGGTATCCGCCACTTTGGTGGGGTTGGAGAACAAAGATCTCCACCAACTGCTGATTGCAGCAGATTTTTTAACCCTTTTTAGGACCGCTTCAATTTGATTGGACGAGTGGTGGACGGTGATTAAGGTAGAGCTACCCCGTTCCATCGCTTCACATGCCTAGTCAGCTCAGGATGCTCTTTTAGTTGACTAATGAGCAAAGTATTAAGGCACAAATTGACAGGTTCAACATGGTCATATATGTAAATCAAAGTTTTTATGTTTCTAGATGTCATTTGCTCCGACTGAAAATCGATATCACATCCCTTAATCATCAACATAAAGCATAAGCACAAATTTGGATATACATTATTGTTGATGACATAAAATGTGTTTACCACCAGAGACTTACAGGCACTGCGGAGACATACGTAGTTGTCATTGATCACCACCACCTGAGAATGTTCTGACGTCTTATGCTGTAGCTCATAATGACACCTGCCTTCATCTGTGCTTAGACAGATGTGCTTCCCTAGGAATACCTCCAATGGATATTGGTACCCCTGATTATCTTCCTATAAGCATGAGCTGATATCTACTGCATGATAGTCTGTCCCTTCTCGGATTACCCAGTGGGGGAGATCTGTAGGCATCATAATGGTGCCATTTGCTATGATACCAAGAGGGAGCAGCGGATATGCCCATTGGACAGTGCCGTTCATAATTGTTAAGACTTGAGCTGTGGCCACCTTTGTGTATGGGTTGTATGCAAAGTCAAGGAGCTTCAACCAGGCATGATGTTCAGCCTCGAATGGCGAGACATCCTTATGCATGATGTTCCTCAGTTCTATAGTTAGGGTTCCCTGAAAGCCTGCCCTAAGAATACTGCTGGACACGGTTTGTATCCATCCTTGTACCTGGGTACAAGCAAGGGCCCAAGAGAGGTTACCCTGCAGACCTTCAACATCTTGCAGGATCCTGGCGGAGTCCTGCTTTTGGGCACGGTACCAGTCCTTGATGATGGTGGACAGGTCATACCCAAGGTCACCAAACTTATTAATGGCCTCAGAAAGTGGCTGGTTTAATGTGGCCACTTCCCGACCTGAATTGCTAACTCTAAGGGCTAGGGACCCCATTCCTATGGAGCTTACAAGCCCAAGTCCAGCTTCAACTCCTCCCATGATCTTAGCAGCAAGGTCTCGTCTCCCATGATCCCAGTACCTGGGCTCCGTACCTCGAACCCAGGCTTCCCAACCTAGCACTGCAGTTCTTACAAAAGGCAAGCATTTAAGTTCTATGCTGCTGACTAAAACCTGCAGACTAACGTTGACTCTTTTGACGGAATACTGAGGGTCTGAGATGACGAGACGTCTCAAGTTCTCATTTACCACTATGGGTCCGATGTGACTGACCCGTGGGTGAGGTATGATGGTCACCTTGAGTGTCTGGAGAGCCCCATAAGGTCCCACTATGTGGCACGTACCAGATTCACTAGAATCAGTGGTAATAGAGATGTCTCCATAGCACTTGCTTACAAATTTGTTTTGGGTCTGCGCAGAGCAGAACCCATTAACATTGTTTGTATTATTACAAAAATGTGGCAAACTGGCACTACAATTAACCGCAACATTATTAAATGAACAGAGCGTAGTGTGCATCCGGAACCA